TTTACTCCCCACCAAATTCTCATCCTCCAAGACCTTTTATCTTATAGCATTCGACAATTAAGGTTATTGTACTCCTCACTTCTAAAGGGCAGCTGGGTAGTGCACTGTATAGAGCCCTAGGCCTGAAGGCAGGAAGACTCATCTTCTTGAGCTCAAATCCGGCCTCAGACACTTAATAACTGTGTGACCCTACACAAGTCATTTAATCCTGTTTGCCTCAGTTTCTTCTTCTGTAAAATGAGCTGGAAAAGGAAATGGCAAACCACTTCAGTATCTTTGCCAAGAAAACCCCAAATGGGGTCACAAGTAAGTCACGACTGAAAAACAATTTAACAACAACTCCTTACTTCAAGATACTCTCATTTCCAAGACTCTTGAAACATACTCTCCTGGTTTTCTCCAATTTCCTTGTGTATGCCTTGTCCACCTCCAGCACCAGCATGGTGCTAAAATCATAGAACTGAGACTTAGACACCATCCAGTTCAACTTCCCTCATTTTACAGATAAGGAAACTGAGACATAGAGACACTAAGTGACTGCCCAAGGTCACAAAGGTTAATTTTTGTAGGTGTTCAATAAATATTGTTTAAAGAAAACATAATGAAAATTTTTTATGGAATCAAGGTGTAGAGTCAGTTTCACATATAATCCTCTTTTTCTGTTCCACTTTGTATATGGAAATGACCTATGGTTTTTTGATGTTTTATAAGTTTAGAATATTAAATTTTTAAAAGTGGTCTGTGTTCATTCCCCCCTTTTTCTTTATTCCTTTCCTTAAACTCCCTGCAATAAAGCTTCTGTGCTTATCATTCTACTGAAACTACTCTTTCAAAAGTGACTAACCACTTTGTTATCAAATCCAAAAACCATTTTCTAGTCCGCATTCTCCTCAATCTTTCTGCTGCATTTGACACATTTCATCCCTCTCTTCCCCTGCTTCTTGAAACACTGTTTTTCTTAGCTTTCATAATACCACACTTTTCCAAAGACCTGGAAACAAAGTAGATATCCCTCAACTGGGAAATAGCTAAACAAAGTGTGATACATCAATATAATGGAGTATTTCTGTGATGAATGAAATGATGACTAAGATGAATATACAGAAGCACAGAAAGACTGATGTGAATTGATACAAACTGAAGTAAGTGAAGCCAAGAAATATACACAATGATTTCAACAATGCAAACAGAACGAACCACTAGAGCACAAAAGAAAATGCACGACTTCCTGGAATTTAAAACCATGTCTCTACTTGTTGTCTTATCTTAGAACTTACCTCAGAGCTTTGTGTACTTCCTCACCCTCACCATCCCTCTGGCCTGCTCACCCTAGAATACCCATATGTAAGACTTGTCCCCTTTCCCTTTTCCTGGAGCCTCCATTTTGTGGAAAGACCCAATCTCCTGACTTTCTGGATTTCAAAATCATGTACTTCATTTTGCTTGTATTTGTGTCCCCAGTGCTTAATATAGTAGTATAGTAAGCACTTAATACATTTTTCCTTCCTGTCTTAATTACTCTTCTAACTCAAATTTTAGATATTCTTAAAAGTACAGATTTAGAAAGATACCAACCAGGTAGCTTCTTGTATTTCTTTCACTTGATTCTCTTTCCACCTTCCTTTCTCCTCCTTGCCTGATCATAAATACAGAGGTGAAATATGTTTTCAAATATTTGTTGAAGAATGTTTTATTTTAATATCTGAACTGACCTTTTGGTCTTAGGATCATAGCTAGATTTGGAAAGGGCCTCTGACATCATTTTTTACTTAAACTTACCCAAATCATGAAGTCCATCTACAACAGCAATGACAACTGGCTTATCAAGCTTCTCTTTGAAAACGTTCAGGGAAAAGGAACTCCATTTTTGGAGGGCTCCAATCTGAATTCCTAGAATTCTTTACCAACTGATCTTCTGGACTCCATTCTCTTCCCCATCTATTCTATGAATACTACAGCTTTCTTTATGTCACTCACCAGCATAAAAATATATATATATATATACATATATATACCATTATAGATGGCAGCAAATTAAAATTTATCAATTATTTTCTATCAAGTGTTCCAAGGTCATTATTCATTTGGTAACAGTTCTGCAAACATAAATGAGACCAAAATTTTCCACAAACCCTTCTGAATATTAGATTTTAAACAAAATTCAAAGCACAAGCAATATTAAAAAAAGTATAATCAGATTGTAGTATTATTCAAAAGTCCTGCATAATGAATCAGCTTTCCCCTGAAATCTCTTTTTTGTCATTTAGAGAATATACCTGACCCCAACGAATTAGAGTTGAATCAGATGAAGTAAAACTAACAGGCAGAAGATGATTAAACTAGTACCAGACATGGACTCCTTTTTTTCAAGTGAGCTCTACAATTGTCTAACACTAATCTCACCATTGGGCTTTCATGAGGCTGCTCTCCTGGCACGACACTGCTTTCCGTGTTGTCTAACCACTTGTTCTGAGGTTACTTTGCTGGCTCAATATGTTTCAATCTCCTAACTGTGGGTGTTCCCCAAGATTCTGTTATAGGCCCCTTTCTCTTCTTCTATACTCACTTTTGATAACTTCAGCAGCTCCCATGGGTTTAATTGTTATCTTTTCAGATCTAGATATCCATTCTTAGTCTCTTCCCTAAGTTTCAGTCTTGCATCATCAAGTTACTTACTGGACATTTCACACTAAATGTCCTGGAGAAATCTTAAAACTCAACACATTCAAAAATGAACTAATTATCTTTCCCTCTAACCCTCTAGCCCTTTCAAATTTCCCTGTTTCTGTTGAAGGCACCACTATCCTTCCAGTTTTTCTGGCTGGTAACCTTGTCATTGTCCTGGTCTCATTTCTCTCCCTCACTCCACATAAAGATAGGAATAGTTGCAGAATCTTGCTGCCATTTCTACCTTCTCAATGTCTCACAAATCCAATTCCTTCTCAGCTCCCAAACAGCCATCACCTTAGTTCAGGTCCTCATCATCTTTCAACTTAATCACTGCATAACTTGCTAACTGAATTGTTTCAAGTCTTTTGCTACGCCAGTCCATTCTACACACTGTTGCCAAAGTAATTTTCCTTAAGAGCAAATTTGATCATAGACTCCCCTACTCAATTTTAGGGCTTCCTACTACCTTCAGAACAAAATTTAACTCCTCTGTTTAGCTTCTAAAATTTTACACAAACCGACCCAATGTAACTGTTTAGCCTCATCAGCTATTACCAACCCTTCCTCCCCCAATTCTGTGATGTGATGAAACTGGCCTTCTTCTCTTTGATCTTCATCTCCCATCTCTGTGCTTTTGTACTGGTCATCACCTGTGCCTGTGACTGCACCTTGTCATTTCAGAGTCCCTCTCTCCCAGCAGCTCAAGCCTTTCCCCATCTTGACTGCTACTCCCTTCCCTCCCACATTATCTTGTATTTAACTACTGTGTATAGAATTATACTCATTCATGTTTTGTTTTTTTTCCCCCCACATTTATATATGTCTTTGTTGTCTCCACCATCAGAATGTAAGCTCCTTACAATACACTCCAGTGACTAGCACATAGCAAATACTTGTTGATTAACTGACAGCTTCAGGTGAGGTTATGAATGAAAAATTTTTTACACACACATTTTTTGAAGTGTCTAAAAATGTCTGACTATGTAATGTGCTTTGTATGTAAGAAGCAAATTAATGACCTTTGAAAGCAACAAAACAGTTGTATTTTTGTGCAATCACCAAGTGTTTTGTTTTATGGAGTATTGCTGGGATTTGAACCCAAATCTTGATTCCCAATTCAGTGTTGTGTTTTGTTTTTTTTTTAAAATGTCACAGTGTCAAAGTATAACTATCAATTCAAGGCAGGCCAATGAAATCACTATTCTCGTAATTCTTCATATTTTTGTCCCAATAAAATTTTAATTTTTCAGTTAATAACAGAAAACAGTCTGCTATGCCTAGACTTTGGTCCTCAACTCCTTTACTATTTCAAGTATTAACTGAATAATTATAAAGACTCATATTACACTCTATCAGGATTCCTACATAAAGTCACATCTCAATGTGGGAACTAAACAAGGGATTTTCTTTAACCAAATAGTAGATAAAAAAAGAAAAAAATGTTAAAAGACAGACTGATAGAACCAAAACTGAAAATTCCCATATTAACTTGTATTAAATTTGTGTGATTAAAAAATGTTAAAGAAATATATTCCCATCTCCCACAAGAAAATTACTAAATAGCTTTTTGAAAATGTAATTCTCTACTACTATTACTATTAAAAAACAAACAAATGCCAATGTAACCAAAAAAATCAAGACTTTTTAGGAGCATAATAAATATACCACTTGTTTCTATGTGCCACTTGTCACAGTCAAGATGCTTTTCCTGAGTTCTTAGTGTAGACAGATAGACTTTTAGACTATTACAAATCACTAATTGCCAAGTTAAACACACTGTACAGGTTTAAATATAGGCCTCTCTTTTTTCCAGTTCATACCTGTTCTTCCCCCACTCCCCAAGCCATCTCATTTTATGGCTGCAGTCTATATTTGCGGACCAATATGGTTATAATGCTCTGAAAACACACAAACTTAGGACCAAGTCATTCCTTATTCCTTTAACTTAATTTACCTACAAAGCTGGTAGTTTAATATTTATCTCCATATGCCAAACAAAAGAAATCGCCATATATAGGGGGGAAAAAAGTTTAACTTTAAAGATTTTAAGGTGTTTAATATGCAAACCAACCAAACACCTGCACGTCCTAATGTGAGTCATTCTATCACTTGCTTTCAAATTGACTCATACACTGATGAACACACATTCAGTTAGATAGACCAAACACCTAAGGAAGCGTTCTGTACTTTAAAAGAGTACGGAAAAGTCTACTTATTTTTTCAATAATTTAAAAAACAAAACTGCTACAATATCCAACATAATCTACTAAAAAGTTGTATTTGAATTTCCTATATGTGGATGACAACAATAAGAATTATGCTTTACTGACCTCCTTAATGGCGTCTTCACTAGGTAACATGGAGCATAAACATGTGATATAAGCTTGGCGAAAAGATGACACATTGGGAATTTCTTTAGACTCCGCACAAAGTTTTGACAAAGAAGTAGCTTGGGTGATACAATTTGACTTCAATAAGTGTTTTATTCGCATCTGCAGAAAGGAAGGTCCTTCTCGTGCAATAAATCTATTGGCTAGGGAAAGAAAAGAAACATGTTTTCATAACTAACAAGTTCAAACTTGTCTAATCGTAGCTCCAACAGTTTAAGAGATCATTAGTCCAAGAAAAGGAAAACTCAAATACTGTGACAAGAATATTTAATGTGGTCTCAAAAGCCACTTCTCTGATGTCTGCTCTAGAGAGAGAGGGAGGACAATCAAGAATAAATTAAATGTATAGATGATACCTTAAATGGGCCAGAAGTTTTTTTAGTTCACCCAAGTTTTTGAAGAGAATTACTTGACTAATAGTTTTGATCATCTTCTCCCATGGATTACTCCCTTCTGGCAGATGTGCTGATATCCACTGAAGTGGGAAGGAGGACTGAGATGAGGGAATTCCTACCTTTTACCTACCAATATTGTCTGATAAAACTCTACCCTTCCCTTCAAAGCCTAGCACAAATGCCATTTCTTGCACGAAGATTCCCCAGTCCTCCTTTCTGAAACACCACACCATTCTGTACATGTCTCTCTCATGGCCACTTATCACATTGAAACCTTATGTTATAGACATTTACACATCTTATCTCTGGTCCTGGATTGTAAGCCCCTTGAGAACAGAAACCTGGCTTTAATTTATCTTCCACAGGAGCCTGCATATAGCAAGTACTCAATAAAATAAACGCTTATTGAAGGAATATATAAAAGACAGTTGTATAAAAAACAACAGATTCCCTCCTCTAGAACTTAGTGTGTCTTTGTTAACTTAAATGAGAAAACTTCAATAATTAGGAACATGGAACAGTTTATTCATCTGTAAAATTAGGGAAGACAGGATTAGATGATGTCTACAGTCTCTTCTAACTCTAAATCCTATGATCCTATTATAACCAAGAATAATTTACCAGGAGCTTATTAAAAAGTGGGAATCTTCATCAAATAAACTAATAATTGAAAGAAATCTTTTGGATCCAATATCTGTTCTTATTGGGAATTTTCACTTTCAGAGAAAAGCCTTACTTTTCATTGTAACACTCCTTGGTGGCTGAAAGTGCCTCTCTACCCACAGGAAGAAAATTATAAAAGGTGCCACAGAAAACACAAAAGCTGTAAAAGTCTTAAAAAATCACCAACCTTAACTACTGAGGAGTGGCTAGAATTTACAAGGGCTAGTTTAACATGGAAATATTAATGAATGATATTAACATGTAAACAATAAAATCAAATTAATTGGATCAAGTTCCCTAGAGAGAATCCTATGACAAGTTGTACAATACTGAAATTCTGAAAATTAATACTGTCTAATTCAGTTCCAGCCACTATTCTCTCCCAAAGCAAGTACTTGATCAAATACCAACACTCACCTTCCTCTGCCTCTACTGGTTGCTGAGACAGGATTTTAAGAAGGACTGGATTTTTCCACACACCTTCTTTGGTAATATCAACCAAGACTTGGAGGTTGTTATTTCCAAATTCCAACAAAGCATCATGTGAATCCTGCGAGCCAAAAATAAATCCAGTAAATACAAAGTTAAAATACCAGAATCTGCTCTGAAAAGGGGCACATATTTTATCCAATTACAAATAAGTATGTAGTAATACCTATTGTGTGCCCCAAGTGCCCTCTTTCCTCCCGTGTAAATAAGAAGAAAAGGTTTCTGTCCTTCAGGGATTTAAAAAGTATCGTGGTTGCTTCTATGTAACTGCTGTACTTCGGTACACAAACCTTGGGCAGTTCAATGAGCTGGTCTCAAGAGTTGAATAAAAGTAATACAATAGGCTAGGAAGCATTAAAGTAACTATAGTTCTTTTAATGTTACCAAGCTGTTATCCAAAACCAATATTATCCTATCAATGCTATATGACCATGAATCATGGAAACAAAACTTCCAAAGAACCATTATAACTAGCATTATAGCATGTTATGGTTGACAAAGCACTTTAACAATGTTATTTCATTTGATACTCAAAACAACCCTATGACATAAGTGCTATTATCACCCCTATTTTACAAACATGGAAACTGAAGCTGAGAGGTTCTGTGCTTTGCCTGAAGTCACACAGCAAGTAAGCAACAGAGGCACAATGAGCATATGTCTTCCCGACTCCTAATCCCATACTCGATGTATTGCTCTAACGATGCAGAGTACACAAAGGGTACTGGAGAGATTCATGGGAATTATAACTAATACAGGTGTAACTAATCTTTGGTAGATTACCAAAGATGACAAGAGTATAAGGAGTAATGCATCGTATCAAGGACCTGTGGAAGCAGGAAAGGAGGGCCTGGCACATGACAATAAGACTGACACTGAGTTATCCTGCTACCCACAAAATGTTAAGAAACCTGAAGAGGTGCACCTACTACACTGTATGTCTTCTACAGATAGTTTACCCTCAGACATGAACAAGAGCATCTTTGGAGGACCAACACCAATAAGATCATGAATCCCTTCAAGTTTTAAGATTGTAAGAGTTTGGGACAGATAGGTGGCGCAGTGGATAGAGCACTGGCCCTGGATTCAGGAGGACCTGAGTTCAAATCCAGCCTTAAACATTTAACACTTACTAGCTGTATGACCCTAGGCAAGTCACTTAACCTCATTGCCTATCCTAAAAAAAAAAAAAAGAAAGAAAGAAAAGAAAAAAAATTATAAGAGTTTATGCCCAAAGGGCTATAAAAATGTGCATACCCTTTGACCCAGCAATAGCACTTCTAGGGCTATAGCTGAGGGAGGGTCATACAAATAGGAAAAGGACCCACATGTACACAAATATTTATAGTAGCTTTCTTTGTGGTGGCAAAGAATTGGAAATTGAAAGGATACCCATCAATTGGGGAATAGCTGGACAAGTTGTGGTATATGAATGTAATGGAATACTATTGCGCTATAAGAAATGATGAATGGGCAGACTTCAGAAAAACCTGGAAAGACTTGTATGGACTGATGCTGAGTGAAATGAGCAGAACCAGGAGAATATTGTACACAGTAATAGCCACGTTGTTCGATGACTAACTTTGATAGACTTAGCCCTTCTCAGCAATGCAAGGATCTAAGATATCTCCAAAGGTCTCACGATGGAAAATGCTATCCACATCCAAAGAAAGAAATGGAGTTTGAATGCAGATTGAAGCATACTATTTGCTCTTTTTTTTTTCCTTCTGTTTTGTTTCTTCTTTCTTGTGGTTCCTCCTATTGGTTCTAATTCTTCTTTACAACATGACTACTGTGAAAATGTGTTTAATAGGAATGTATATGTAGAGCCTATATCAGATTGCACACTGTCTTAGGGAGGGAGGGGAAGAAAATTTACAATTCAAAAGCTCCTTATGGGGGGCAGCTAGGTGGCACAGTGGATAGAGCACTGGCCCCTGAAGTCAGGAGGACCTCAGTTCAAATCCAGCCTCAGACCAAACACTTGACACTTACTAGCTGTGTGACCCTGGGTAAGTCACTTAACCCCAACTGCCTCACCAAAAAGCAAAACAAAAACAAAAAACAAAAAAAAGCTCCTTGTGGAAGTGATTATTGAAAACTAAAAATAAGTTAATTAAAATTTCTAAAAAGTTGTAAGAATTTAAATTTTGAATAAAAAATGCTTTTTGTTGGTTTCATACTTTTGTGTTGGAATTAACGAAATATTTACACGTGTTGAACAAGGGCCATATTTAAAGCTCCGTAATGGAGACCAGATGAAAGACTGATTGATCTGATTAAGTGTAGCTCGACTGACTGTCTGAACCAAAATGAACAGTGAAGACTGACAATCCTCATAGCTGTGACTGATAAAAAACCTTCAAAAGCAACTTCCAAGAGATGCTTTCTTCTGTGTAAAGGTTTTCTATGAGTACTCACACAATTAGCTTTTGGAGGTAGAAGACAGAAGATAAGCTATGTTTCTCTAATATCTCAGGCTGATCCTCATTTTCATGTGTTTTTATAAAGAGTGCTATTTAAATTCTTGTATTCTACTGGGGTTAGTATACAGAAGGGGACAAAAAAATTAGGGAGGCTCAGTCTTCAGAAGAACTATAAAGTACAAGTTTCACTACAACATATTTTAGAATATACATTACTTACTTTATAATATTACTGACAGACATAACCTCCCATTAATAACATTATTCCAAAGGAAAATTGTTTAAAATGGCAGGATTCAACACTTAAAGCTCACCCAGCAAAGACTATGCCTATTATGAGAAGTGCTTTGCCTCAAAGAAGCTATCATAGTTCCCAATTATATAGCATGATAAAGTCTACAGAGAAGTTTCAAGAGTATTCTATCTACTTTACAGATGAGGAAATCAAGGCTTAAAAAAGTGAAGCGTGTGCCCAGTCTACAGCTAGGAAATGTCCGAACTGGGCTATACTCTACAAAACACTGAATCTCATAAAACAAAGATCAACCCCAAATTCAGGACAAATGGCCTGACAAAATTTATTTTCTGATCTTATGTAAGCCAGAATATTTAAAATGTAGAATTTCCTGAAAAATGCAGGATGAATGGATGCCAGTTAGTTATAATCTCCATTTCGTATAAGAATTCTTTATGTGGGCATCCATGAACTTTTTTTATTCATTTAGAAAATATTTTTAAGCTTCTGACTACCAAAGGGATCAATGAGAAAAAAAAAATCTTAAGAATCTTGATTTAGTCCTTCAATAGTAATAACATTCACCTGAGATTGGGATTTTCCTCAGAGTCTGACTATTCAGCTATTTCCCCTACATTGAAGAAATAAGCAAACATTTAGATAGTGCCTACTCTGTGCCCAGTATCATGCTAACTAAATGCTTTCTAACAAATATTATCTCATTTTATCATCATAACAATGCTGGGAGGTAGATGTTATCATGACTCCTATTTTATTACAGTTGAAGAAACTGAAGCAAATAGAAGTAACTTGCCCAGGATCATACAGCTAGTATATCTGAGGCCACATCTGTACTCAGGTCTCCTACGCTCCAGGTCCACAGCTCTAATCAATGAACCACCAGTTGCCTCTGCTATTTTTCCACATTGCTTTTGTTCCCTACCCATCCACCCCTCATAACTACAAGAAGTATTTTTTAAAAAGTAGAAATTCCCATATTGCATATTTTGTTCCTTTGTCCTTTGGCCTGGTTCCCTCTTTTAAAATGTGGCAGAACACTCTGCCTACTATGTATCTATCACAACGAACTCTAGCCAGAAAACTCCTTAGAAGCTTCATGCTTTTATTTAAATCAATTTCCTATTTTATTAACTGAAATGCTGTTTACTTAAATAAGGGACACAGGCATATTTCCTCTGGTTTTCAACAGATGTTGAAATTCTGCCTTTAATGTACCATGAAACAAAAATATCAAATCTAATCTACGAAAAATTAATGGGAGACTCAGCATGCCATCTGACTAGGGTATACTAATTCCTCCCCTCTGTCTATTAGAATCCTTAGATTCGGGAAAGACTTACATGAACTGATACAAAGTGAGGTGAGCAGAACCAGAACACTGTACATAGGAACAGCAATATCGTGTGATGAAGAACTGTGAGTGACGTAGCCATTCTCAACAATACAATAGTTCAACACAATCCCAAAGGACTCATGATGAAAAATGTTATATGCCTCCAGAGAAAGAACTGATGTTGTATGAGTACAGACTGAAGCATAATATTTTTCACTTTTTCTTGTTTGGGTCTTCTTGCACAAAAGGACTAATATGGAAATATTTTAACCTATATCAGACTGCTTACCATTTCAGGGAAGAGGGAAGGAGGAATAGAATTTGAAACTCCAAACTTTAAACAACAAATGTGTTAAAAATTGTTTTTTACATATAACTGGGGAAAAAATAAAATATATTAACAAAAAAAAAGAATCCTTAGGTTCCTTTCATGATGAGCTTAGGTGATAATTCCCCCATAAAGTCTTCCAAATTTCTCCAGCTGCCAGCGATCACTCTCTGAATTTTTCTAGAGTACTTTATCTGATTTCTCTCTTGCTGCCTCAAGATCATAATTATGCATATTTGCATACATATCATATCAAACAGAATGTAAGCTCCTTGAAGTCTTTATATGCTTTGTTTTTGTCTTTTGGGCCCCTATCATTCATTTATTTATTAAGCTAAAATTTTTTTTTCAATCAATGAAAAACTACCTTCTCTACCTCTCCCTCTTCCACTGAGAAATCAAGGAAAAAAAAATCTCTAGCACAAACTTGCATGGTCAAGTAAAATAAATTCCCACATTGGTCATATTTAAAAAAAAAAAGTCTCACAATGCACTCCTGTTTATCACCTCTCTATTCAGAGAATGGAAGCAACATTTCATTATTAGTCCACCAGAATTTTGGCTGGTCATTAAATTGATCAAAGTTCCTAGTTTTTACAATATTGTTGTTAATGTATAAACAGTTCTCCTGATTCTGTTCACTTCATTCTGCATCAGTTCATATAAGTCTTCCCAGGCCTTTCTGAAAGTAGCCCCTTCATAATTTTTTATGGCACAATGGTATTCCATCATATTTACGTACACCACACCTTGTCAAGCCATTACCCACTGAACTCAAGGAGAAAGCAAGTAAGGAAGGGGTGCAGGGTTGAAGTAAGGAATTTAAGAGGAAGGAATACAGGGCAGCTAGGTGGCGCAGTGGATAGAGCACCGATCCTGGAGTCAGGAGGATCTGAGTTCAAATCTGGCCTCAAACACATAACACACACTAGCTGTGTGACCCTGGGCAAGTCACTTAACCCCATGGCCTAGCCATGAATAAATAAATAAACAAACAAACAAATAAATGAATGAATGAATGAAGAGAAAGGATTACACTAGGGACAGAAAAGCTTTAAGCAAAACAAACTTCCTGATTCTGAAAGGAGGAGTTTTAGGAGAGAAAAAGAAAAGCAAAAGAACTGAAGGCAGTGCTTGAATATCACCACTTAGACAATGGAGGAACGGCCTAACAAATGGTAGCATATGGATACAACAGAATTTAATTGCTCTGTAAGAAATGACAAGAGACAATTTCAGAGAATCCTGTGTAGTATGCACTGATGCAGAGTGAAGTGAACAGAAACAGGAGAACAATTTATACAAGGAAAACAACACTGTAAAATAAAACAACTTTGAAAGGCTTAATTCTGATCCAAGCAATGACCAATGATTGATCCAAAGTAATGACATATGGACCACCAACCATAGGTCCTCCAGATGACCTAAGATCACTGATGGCTACAATATACAATAAAAGACTTGCATTACTGGACATAAAAAGCAAGTGGTATAACATAGAAATTATGAGTTTCATAGAATTCCCTTTTTCTATTCTGTTGTGTGTATGGAAATTTTTTTTAGTGTATAAGTTCATAATTTAAAAATGTAAATGAAAAAATTGCAAAAAAGAATAATAGTAGCACCTGCCTTGTAAGGTTGTTGTAAGGATCAAATAAGATAATATATGTAAAAGTTTTTTGCAAATCTAAATCTAAAGTACAAACTGAAATATATTGCCCCAGATATCCTTTTCAACTCTAAGTCCTTTGAGGTCACTCTGTGAAGTAATTATCTCCTATTTCATTTTGCACAGTGCTAAGCACCCACATAGCATTTGGTAAATGAATGAGGTAGAAAAGCATTTACTAAGCACTGACTTTGGGCCAGGCAAAACTGTTCTAAGTGCTAGGAATACAAACCCAACTAAGTCTAACAGCTGTGGCTGTGAAGAAGCTTTATAAATTTTTATTATTATTATTTTTTTGGTGAGGCAATTGGGGTTAAGTCACTTGCCCAGAGTCACACAGCTATTGAGTGTTATATATGTGAGACAGAATTTGAACTCAGGTCCTCCTGACTCCAGGGCTGGTGCTCTATCCACTGCGCCACCTAGCTGCCCCGAGGAACTTTTTTTATAATAGTGGACAAGAACACATAAGGGTTTCATTAGTGGCATAAAGGTGCCCTGGAAACAGCAAGTCAGGGAGGGATGGGCTTCAGTGCCTAGTATCTTAGGCATGAACCTGGAGTCAAGGAATGGGAGGTGAAAGCTAGAGGGCAGAACAGCATATAAAGATGACTGGGATGTGGACTGAGGGTACATATAACGAAGACTGGACAAGCCAAAACCCAGAATGCTGGTTGGGAACTTGGGAGTGCCCAAACTAAAATGGAAGGCCTTCTGAGCAGGAAGGAGAGGAATGATGGATGTCAAGATGTTATGGGGGGGTAGAACTAACAAGACTTGGCAAGAGACTGGATAGAGGGCATGAAGGAGAAGGCAAAGTTAAGAATGATTTCAAGATGACAAACTTAGGTCTGACCCTCAACAATAAGAGAGATGTTTGGAGGAAAGGTGGATTTAGGAGAAAGGATAAGTTCCATCTTAGATATGTTGAGCAGACATGTCCAATAGGCAGTTAACGTTGCAGGGATCAGAATTTCAGTTCTCAGCAGTAGTGAAGGTAGTGGGCACAGTGGGCAAAAGTGCTCAACTCAGAGTCAGGTGGACTTCAGTACAAACACTACCTCAAACCTTTACTAGCTATGTGACTTCTGGCAAGTCACTTAACCTCTTATAGCCTCAGTTTCCTCATCTGTAAAATGAGGAAAGGTTGCTGTGAAGATTAATAGACAGCAATATATGCACACTGCACTGTGAACCTTAAAGTGCCTAAGACCAAAAGAGCAACAGATCTTGCATTTGTACCCAGCTGCAAATCCAGCACTCTTTTCACTGCCCTATGCCACCTCTGATCTTTCACTTCTGTGACATGACCTAGTCCAAAGAAGTTTCTGAATAAATGAGGTATTTACTCTATGAGAATATATTACAACTTGTTAAATTAATTATTTCAAATACAACAGCCTTACTGGTTTGGGGCAATGGAACTAAGTCAGGTTTTACCTTTTTCACATACATGCCAAGGAAGGCTCTGAATGGACCTCTGGTCAGAACATCTGGAGGACCAAATTCCAGCCTTAAAAATCCAAATCAAATAGTTTTAAGTTTGAGGTCTTTCTGATCTGCGTACGTGAGGGGAAAGCCACAAGTTACCTTTATGATTGAATCATAAAGCACTTTTTCAAGCTGAAAAAGACTCACCTGTATGGACTGATTAAAAGGTACCCATACTTCACATGGAAGTTCAGTTTCAGGCACAGACAGCAAGAGCTCAAAACAACTCCTATAATAAAGAAAGACAAATAACAGTAAAAAGCAGTTCTGGTTGCAGTCGATATTTTGTTAGTATAATTACAAAATATTCAGACAATGGGCTGGTTCCACGAAGGAGGAGAACCACATCTTTCCTATACCTTTGCATCACCCTTCAGGGCCTAGCGTACAGAAGAAACTTAACAAATATTTGCAGAATTTATACCTCTTATATAAAATCACTTCATCTCTGTGGTGAAGCATAAATTCTCCATCAAAACGTTCTATCCAGGTAATAGCCGTGTGACATTGGGCAAATCACTTAACCTGTTTGCTTCAGCTTCCTCAATATGTAAAATGGGGATAATATGAACATTTACCTATCAGGGTTATTTGAGGTTCAAAGGAGATGACATTTATAAAATACTTAGCATGATGCCTGGCACATAGAAGGCAAGATAAATGCTAGCTATTCTTATTATTAGCAGAGTGACAAACCTGTTAAGAAATCAATTCTGAGGAAATATTTCTTTTTGCCTTTTCATTCTCAGGGCCTAGCATAATACCATGAGCACTTGGGAAGGGAATGAGTGATGGAGTAGTGCTTGTAAACCTCTGACTTTACGAAATATCAGTAAAGACACTCCTATTAATGTAGATCTAAAACTTCTCCAACTTCTAGGCTCAGAGAGCTACCAAGCAAACTGAGGGTCTAAGTGACTTGCTCTTGGGTCCAAAATCAGTATTTGCCCAAGGAGAGAAGGACTTGAATCTAGGCCTTCCTTTGTGACTCTCAGGCTGGCTCTCATCCACTATGATGAACATGCTGCTATGAGCATAGTAAACATATGAACATTTTACTAGAGAGTCTGTATTCCAGGTACTTTAGAAAAAGAAAGAAAAGGCAGGAGAGGGGTAAAAGAAACAAAGGATGTCATAGTCTATACTCTTCTGGTCCCTTAATCCTTCCCAGGGGGTATTTGCAAAAGTACCTTGTTAAGCCAAATGGATCTCTTAATTGGTAAAATTTCAGAGTAATATAATACTTAAAATCATAGGTCTTTTGGGATCACATAGTATAATTTACTAATTTTACAGCTGAGAACACACACTGTGTGGAGTGAAGTGATGCACCCAGGAGCACATATTTATGTTTAAGCTTCAAACTTCAGGTGCTATGAAATAAGTTATTTGGGGGCCCAGGGCCACTTGTAGGATCAGTTTTCCTAAACTATTCCTATTTTCTCAGAACCTCTTCCTTTTCTGATTTCATATGCAAAGACATAGTGGTAATAATCTCTTTAAGTATCCTCATTTTTGCAGAACAAACTATAAAAGAAGAGATCTGAAGAGCAGGAAAAAATATAAGGGCAATACTTTAATTAGCACTAACAACCCAAGCAAGGGAAGAGATGCACATATGCTGCTAATTTAATCCACCTCTAAGCAGCTCCATTTCCTCAAGAAGAGGTCCTGGAAAACATTAAAGAGACACAACTGGGGAGAGGAAGAGGGTGAAAGATTAGGGACTAAGACAGGAATGCAAAATAACAGTAAAGCAACAGACAAACTTCAGTATATCAATTAATTTGCCAATGTTTAGAATTCAGTTGGTAAAATATTGGGAATATGTAAAAAAAACTTCCAACTTAGATATGAGAAAGTCTTCTTCTCTTTCTGACCTTTACTTAGGAATATCAGAAAACTGGAGATATAGGTTACTTGCTACTAAGTGGGAACAAAAGGATTATAAAATTTGGAGGGCTAGGGCATGCGCAACTTGGGCCAAAGGACTTTAACTGTGGAGAACTAGAAGTACCACCTAGAAAAGGAGATTGCTTCAAGATTTGCTTCAATGCTCAGGGGTCCAAGGTAAAGATGCCCATCAACTTTCCTTTTAGGGATATGAACAGGCAGTTCTCAGATGAAGAAATTAAAGCCATCTATAGTTATATGAAAAAATGCTCTAAATCACTATTGATTAGAGAAATGCAAATCAAAACAACTCTGAGCTACCACATCACACCTATCAGATTGGCCAACATGACAAAACAGGAAAATGATAAATGTTGGAGAAGATGTGGGAAAATGGAACACTAATGCATTGTTGGTGGAGCTGTGAAATGATCCAACTATTCTGGAGAGCAATTAGGAACTATGCCCAGAGGGCTATAAAAATATGCATACCCTTTGACCCAGCAATAGCACTTCTAGGGCTATATCCCAGTGAAATCATACAAATGAGAAAAGGACCCACATGTACAAAGTATTCAAAATATGTACAAAAATACATACTTTCACATACACATCTAAAAACTTAAAAGGTTATGGATAAATAAATAAGAAGTAGTAACAGCTAATATAACTGATTAGAACTCTTATGTTGTAACTCTGAATAATGAGTATTCTCCCCAAAAGTAATATCTCTTAAACACTTTCAAAATTACTTCATGAGTATTTCATATTGACTTGACCAAGTTCTTTGTACCGTGACATTTAAAAGTTCGAGAGACATAATTTCTTAGTAATTAGTAATTTTAATAATAATGTTAGCATTTTAGTAAAAGAGGTCAATGGAACTCTTGAATGCCAAAAACAATCATGGCTGGGTCATGGCTTACATACCCTTAGAAAGGGGATGTTCCAGAGGGTGGCAATCAAACTCTGATTGGTTAACAGGTAATGAAAGAGAATGAATTAAATACAATGTGGGGCTGGACCTATTTTAATGAACTTTGATTATGTCATTTATTTCTACATTACCTCCAGCCTTGGATCTAATCAAAGAATTCATCCCTACACAAACTGGAGTTAAACATAATAGTTTTCCCCACCTTAGATTAAATTCCTAGTAAGGCTGGGTGGAATCTGACCAAGATGGAGAAGAGTTATTATTCAATCTCATTATCAGTAATGTCCTTCAAGAGAATGAACTCTGTAATGAGGACTACAGAAAATGGGGAATTCTGGATCTCCCCAAATCACTCATTATGAATAACTATTTCTCTCATTACCCACAGCACCTGCCATGTAGTAGATTCTTAATAAATGATTGTTGAATAAATGAAAGAATGAATGCAGTGAAGAGAGTACAGAAGGTGAGAAGCTCCAACACCAGACACAATGAAAAGTGGCTGGCAACTACTCCTAGGAAGGGTTTTTGATGGCAAGCTTGCCTGAACTTCTGGAGGCATCTGAGGAAGAAATGGATTCAGGGCAGGTTTATTTAAAAAGCATGGTTATATATAGAAAGGTAGCATGGGGTAGAAGAAAGAACACTGAATATGGAGTCAGAAAACAGGTTCAAATATTGATAAATTAATAATAACTCTGTGGCCTTGAAGTAATCCATTTATCTAATTAATATGAAATAGTGAAACAATTTCAGTAGCTGTAAAATGAAGATTTTTATATTTGCAATATCTACCTACCAGAGGAGATGTAAGGATCAAATGAGATAATGTATATCAAGATACAGAGTAAACCATTAAAGGGTAGTACAAATTTGTCATCGGTTGTTACTGAATTTGAAGTCATTTTCAAGTTTTGACTCAGCCAGTTAGTAATTATGTGACAATAAGAAGACATTAAACTTTTCTAAGCCTCAACTTCTTCATTTGTAAAATAAGGACAGTAATATTTATGCTACCTTCACAGAACTGTATTGAGTAAAAGTGGATGCTTTTTTCAAAGTGCTAGACTTGCTACTTTCATAATAAAATAAGAATGAGACAAAGCAGTGGTAACAGCTAAGATAACCTGAGAGAGATATTGGCCCATACCGAAGTACTTACTACTTTACTCTTGTACTAGATCAATATTTTGCCCAACTAAATTAATTTTCTTTCTTTTTTTTTTAAATGTAATTTACTTTTCACTGGTGAGCCATGATCTTCAATAAAATTAAAGAACTAAAACTCTTATTACAGAGGCAACTTGAGTCACAGATATATGCCATCCAATGAAATTTAAATAGGAAGAACCTCTCAATGACATAAAAATTAAATCACAGAGCAGAAGGTAATGAACAAAAGATTGATAAAATACAGATGTAATACATATACTCACCAAAATTAAATAACTCATTTTATAAAAGCATGAATTATTTTTGAAAACTTACAGTACTAGCCTGCCCAGAACGAGGAGAACATCTTCACATTCAGTAGTTAAATATGGCCGAGCACTGGCAAAGCTCTGGATTGAGAGTCGATATACTTCCAGAAGGCACGCCATGTGTTCTGATGTATTCCTGTTGCCTGCATACTGAAGCAAAGTCTGCAAGACAAAGACCAAGTTAAAAAAAAATTTTAATGACACTCATCCAGACATACCACTCCCATTTTTTATTCACATTCTTAGCTCGTTTCTTTTTGTACTTTCTTCATCACTTAAGCCTGTTTTCTATTCTAATTGAAAGAGTAGAGAGTGGGTTATCAACCCCAGGGAAAGCACTCTGGGCTTGACAACATTCTAATATTAGAGCCCCAGGGCTGCTTACATGTTACACTGGAGTAACTGGAGGAGGACACTGGAGGTAGAGCTCTGCTATCTTTTTGACTTCCCTATTCCTGTCAGGAGAGATGTAGCATGGGGTAAAGTATCAAGAGCTGGCCTTGGAACTTAGGAAGACCTAAGTGCAAATCCAGCATGGCAGCCTCTTACACATATTGGTTATGTGACACTAGCAAGCAACTTCAGGGGTTTCCTCAAACCAGGAGTTCTCTATACCAAGGAAATGACAGTCTAGCTCTTACTTCTATCCTGCAAATAGCTTAGTTGTGAAACACTGTCAAGTCAACCTGCCTACACTATCACAATAGAGGAACTCCCAACCCATCAAATCCAGCTCTACTTGATCCTTCAACATTGCTACCAGACCAATATTACCGTAGCACAGATGTGATCATGTCCCTGCTAAGCTCAAAGCCTTTTCAAAGGGCCTCTGTGTCAGTGAATAAACTTTAAAAATCACAATGATAAGCTAGCACTTGGGTGGCACTTTAAGGTTTGCAAAGCACATTACACATATCATCACAACAAACCTGAGAGGTAGGTGCTATCAGTATCCTTATTTTACAGATGAGGAAACTGGAGGAAGACAGAAGATGAATAACTGACCCAGAGGTCACACAACTGTTTTAAGTGTCTGAGGCTAAATGTGAACTCGAGTCAAGCTGACTCCAAGTCCAGTGCAGTGCCCAATCCCCTACACCACCTAAAGAGCCTAGTTTTAATCCAGTTGTAACTCCTTAAAGTGCCATTTCAAGACCAACCACAACCTGCTACTAGCCTACCATTCTAGTTTCATCCCCCCCCTGCCTCCCATCCCCAATTTGCACACTACACTTAAGCCAAACTAGATTGCTTGTTGTCAGACCTCAATGAATTTGATGATGATGCTCCCTATACGTAGAATGCCCACTTTGCCCCATTTTTACCTACTTGATATCCTACTCATCCTGTTTAAAATTCAACACTTGTCCCCAAAGCCTTCCCTGATGGATAAAGATCCATCCCTCCCCCAAGAGTATTGCTGACCTTCACCCTAGGACCTCATGAAACACCTGGTCTAAGCTGGTCAATCCCAGAGCATCCATCTCTTGCCTAAGGGCTGTTTCTTCTTCTGCTTTTTTTTTTTTTTTGTATTTTGTTTTTTTGGTCTAGGCAATGGGATTAAGTGACTTGCCCAGGGTCACACAGCTAGTAAGTGTTATGTGTCTGAGGCTGGATCTGAACTCAGGTCCTCCTGAATCCAGGACTAGTGCCCTATCCACTGTGCCACCTAGCTGCCCCAAGGGACCTGTTTCTTTGCAAAGTTTGTCACAGCTAGGCCTGGAATGCTCTCTCTCCTCAGTTCTGCCTCTTGCAACATTTAGATCTGTTTCAAGTCAGCTCAAGTACCACCTTTTCCTGATCCCAATTCATCAGTGCCCTCATGCCCTACCACTGACCGTGCATATTTTCTTTTCCCTCTTTGTCTCTAAACATGCAGTGAACCATCTATCCCCTCAGTAAAATGCTAGTTCCTTGAGGTCAAGGACTGTCTCATTTTGATGTTTATAACCACCACACATGGCAAAGTACCTAAGCATAAAGTGTACACATATAAATAATTCCAAAAAACAATCCTAAAATATTTACTTCAAAATAGATGTAATTAAATATATTTTTCTAAATTGTAAGCTCCACCTGGATAGTTTAGATTCCTCCCTGGATTTTTATGACAAGGTTACATCATGGCTCTCCTATGAGGACCGACTGATCCTTTTCACTGACCTTTGCAGGATATCCTATATGGATCTCATTAGTGCCTTAGTGATCTCATTCATAGTCAACTAGCATTGATTAAATACCTACAATATGCCAGATACTGTGCTAAGGGCTGGGGATACAAAGAAAGAAAAAAAAAATTAGTCCCTGCCTTCAAGGAGCTTACAGTCAGATGGAGGAAGCAACATGCAAACAGCTGCATACAAACCAGCTATAGACAGGACAAATTGGGGGGCCAACTCCAGTTGTCCTGATCTATATCTTGCCACTAGAGCGAGATGGCTCTGAAGGAAAAAGTGAGGCTGGTGACTCTGCACAGTCCTCTCTTACGGTAATCCAATTCACAACAAGTAATGGCATCACCTTCCTGATGTCATGGTCCTCCTCAAGAATGAAGGACCAATAACAAGAAGACAGGACAAACTGGAGGTAGTTTCAAAGGGAAGACACTATCATTGAGGAGGCCTGGGAAAGGCTTCTTGCAAAAAGTGGGATTTTATCTGAGACTTAAAGGCAGTCAAGGAAGCCAGAGGTAGAGAGAGATGAGGAGGGAGAGAGTTGCAAGTACAGAGGACAGTTAGAGAAAACATTCCCAATTAGTTGTGTGGTGGAAACTCAAAGTAGAGAATGAATATAAGGTACTAAGAACAGCAGTGTCACTGGATAGTGGAATACACAGAGGGGAGTAAGGCAGAAGACAAGAAAGGGGCCAGGTTATAAAGGGCTTTAAAAGTCAAACAGAAGAGTTTATATTCGATTCTGGAGGCAATAAATAGAGAGCCACTGGAGTTAAATAGGAGAGTTCCAAGATCAGTCCTATGTTTTCAGGAACATCAGTTTGACAGTGGAGTGGAAGATGGACTGGAGTGGAGAGAAACAGGCAGTTACTTGCCAGTAAACTACTTCAATAGTCCAGGTGTGAAATGACAAGGGCCTGTATGACAGTGTTTGCAGTATCAGAAGAGGGTATATATGAGAAATGTTACAAAAACAGAAACAAAAGTACTTGACAACTCACTGATATGGAGGTGTGAGGTAAGAAAAACTGAGGAGTGAAGGATAATACCTAGTTTGTGAGTCTGGGGAACTGGAAGGATGGTGTATCCAAAACAGTAATAGGAAATTTAGGAAAAGGGATGGGTTTTTTTTTGGTTTTTTTTTTTTGGAGTGGGAGATAGTGGGTTCTATTTTGGACATGTTGATTTTCAGATGTCTATGGAACCGATCCAGTTCAAGATGTATAATACGCAGGTGGAGATTTAAGGCTGGCAATCTGGAGAGAAGTTTGGGCTGGACAAGTAGATCTGAAAGTCATAAGCACAGAGATGATAAATGAATCTATGGGAGTCGATGAGATCAGCAAATGAAATAGTATAGAAGAAGAGGGCTCAGGATGGAGCCTTGGTGTCAGCAAATGATACTGAGAAAAAGAGCCATCTGGTAGGTAAGAGTTGTGAAAACCTAGACAGAATACAGTATTAAGGGAAAGGTGAACAAGAGTGTCAAAGGTTGCAGAGGTCACAAAGGATGAGGACTAAGAAAATGTCGTAGATTTAGTAATTAAGAGATCACTGGTAATTTTGGAGAGAGCACTATTGGTTGAAAGATGAGATTAGAAGCCAGACTGCAGAGAGTTAAGAAGAGAGAGAGAGGAAAGGAATTGGAGCCACTTATAAGCAACCTTCAAGAAATTTAGCCATACAAAGAACTGGAAATTGAGGGGAAGCCCATCAACTGGGGAATGGCTGAACAAGTTGTGGTTTATGAATGTAATGGAATATTATTGTGCTATAAGAAATGATGAGCAAGTGGACTTCAGAAAAACCTGGAAAGACATGAACTGACGCTGAGTGAAGTGGGCAGAATCAGAACATTGTACACAGTTAACAGCCACGTTGTTTGATGACTGATTTTCATAGACTTGGCTCTTCTCAGCAATGCAAGGATCTAAGACAACTCCAAAAGACTCATGATGGAAAATGCTATCCACATCCAGAGAAAGAACTTTGAAGCCTGAATGCAGATGGAAGCACACTACTTGCTCTCTCTCTCTCTTTTTTTGTTTTGTTTTTTCTTTCTCCTGGTTCCTCCCATTAGCTCTAATTCTTCTTTACAACATGATTAATGCGAAAATATGTTTAAATATGAATGTATATGTAGAGCCTATTATCAGATTGCATGTTGTCTTGGGAAGGGGGAGAAAATTTAAAACTCAAAATCTTATGGAAGTGAATGTTGAAAATTAAAAATAAATTAATTAATTAAAAAAAAAGAAAAGAAAGAAAGAAATTTCGCCACAACAGGCAGAAGAGACATAGGATGACAACTAACAGGGGAGACACGGATATGTTTGGAGGCAATAGGAAAGGAGAGATTGAAGATCAGTCAGAAAGTAGGGATGATAAAGACAGAATCATAGAGGTTGGAAGCTTGGATGACAAGATGGAAAGAGGGGAAGGATAATGAATTCCATTTTGGAAAAGTTGAGTTTAAGATGTCTACATGAGATGACACAGACATAACTCTAAGCAAGTTCCTTGCCTGGACCATCCATTTCATCAGCTCCCCTAGCACACTGTCAAAACCTCTATCAGATGCCTCAAACACACCCTGAATGGTAGCCTGCCCCCACCCCTTTCAGCTTTCCATCTTCATACCACTGCCTGAAGCCTGGGGATGGCTCCACTGTGAAGCTGACTCAATGACTGCTGAGTCTCTGCCTGGAACTTCCTTATTATGAGAAGGCCAAGCCTTACTTCAAAAACTCTTTGATTTTGTGTAATCAAAACAGTCTATTTTACCTACTGTGATCTTCTCAATTCCTTTTCTGGTAATGAACTCTTCCCTATCTATAGCTGCAAAGTGCATTTTAATACTTGCTCTTCTAATATTTATAATATGACCTTCTTAAAAAATCTAGGTCACATCCATTTAAAACTTATTGTAATACATGGAATGAAATGTTGGTCTAAACCTAATTTCTGCCACACTGTTTTCCCATTTTC